TTTGGAAAGCTCCTGATGAAAACTCCGGTCCCAAATCAGCCACCACCACTCTCGGAGCTCCTAGAACCGAAATCCATGCTCTGTTCATGAACTTCACTACCTTATCAGCGGTCTTCCCTTCCAGCAACTGCGCCACCTGATACTTAGACATGGCATCCACAGCATGCGCCACCCAGTGCGTCCTGTCAAAGCCATCGGGGATGGCTACCAGATCCACATGAACTTGGTCGCCGAAATGTCGAGGCTTTGGCAATGAACCTGGGCGTCAAGTTCCAGGCCTCTTTACCTCATGACAGGACCCACACTTCAGCTCCTTGGCCGCTCTGATGAGGTCGGGTGATGCCCCAGCCATCATCAAAGCCTTTGCCAGGCGTTGTGGTGACCTGTGCCCTGTGTTTGCATGTAGCCTCATCACCGCTTGCGTGGGGTTGACCTGATCTAGGTCCGGAAGGTCTATCTCTTCCTCTTGGCTGTCCTGGCTCAACTGTCTTCAGCTTGAAGGTCCTCCTCCAGATCTCGTCCAGGATCAACCTCTCCGACGTTGACCTCCCTAAAACCATGCTCACCGCTGTTCTTCTCCAAGTCAAACTCCTTCTCGGTGCCATCGACAATGGCTCGTGCAAGTGTTCGAGGGTAATGGCCAGCCGCCTCGGTGATCTTGCTGCCACCGATGACTGGTTCATGATCATGTGACCCATCACACCTCTTGTCACTCAGCTCCTGCGCCACTTGAGCACTTGACGTCAATATCCACGTTCTCTTTCGATGCAGTCCTCCTCCAGGTCCTTGAAGACCAAACTGACACTGGTCCACTTCACACAGGTAGTAGTCGCCGTTCTCCACCAGCTCTCGCAACTTCTTTCTCATCTGCCACCCTACTCCTCGAGGGATTCTCCAGACAAAAATGCCGACCGCCTCGTACTTGTTCCAACGCCACCTCCACGGCAAAGTCCACCAACTTGCCGGCCTGCGCTTTGCACGCAACCTCGCCAGCTTACGGTAGTCCTTCTTGCCCAACTCCTGCAGGGGTGACCATGGTCACTTCTCACCCGCTCCAACGCCTCTAGACGATCACGAGCTCGAGAAAAATCATGTCCGCACTTCAGGGACATTGGATCCATGGCAGAATGTCCTCGTCGTCTGGCTTCCGTGATGAGGGGCTCCGTGTCCGTGTAAACTTCGGCCATCAAGGGATGTTCCTCCGCCTGACTCGAACTGCCTAGCTCCAAGCTCAACGCCTCTGCCACTCTCCGCACCTTATCTCCGGAGAGCGTCTCATCCGTTAAACTCCGCCATGAAGGGTCTGTGCTTGCCATAGACGATGTCCGTGAGTAGTCGCTGCTCATCTTTCACCATCAAGTCCTCGACCTCATTGCACGTCACCTTCAAGACCTCCTGAATTCTCTGCGACTTCTCAGCAGCCTGACGCAAAAGCTGCTTTTCACCTTTCTTCAACTTCTGCACACTCTTCTTCTGCAACCTCCCCACGACGCTCACATGTCCACGTCCTGGTCGATCTTGAAGAACTTTGTCTTGTACTCGAACATGTCGGTCTCCCACGGCTCCTTGAAAATCTCCATCTCCTGACGCACCTTCAAGTTCAGCTTCTGTTCTCGCTCTGCTCGGCTCATCTCTTCTCCCACGCCTCCAGCTTGAGGTTCTCCAGTTTGCTGCACGGGCGTCTGACTCGAAGCGGATGAGCTTTTCGGCTTCAGCTTTCCCGCATCCACCAGGATCTTGACCGCCGGCATGAGCTTGGCCCTGAGGGTTTCCACCGTGTCGTTGCCCAACACCTCGACCCTCATGAGCGCCGACAGCTTGATCAACTCGAGCTTGAGCTTGGGCAAGCCTCCTCGCGGCCCCAGAAGTGCCCGAATCTGCGTGTCCCGGTTCTCTCCAGACTCCGTGATGAGCCGGTGCGTTTCGGCCGCGAGCGCCTCGTTGATGTGCTTGCGGGGCGCCTTGTTGAGCGCGACAACGCTATAGGTGATCACCGGGTCCTCCAGAAATGACAGCTTCAGCCCGAGCCGGCTCCTCAAGGTTACGCCATCCTTCAGGTTGAAGACTCCATGGGCCGTGTAGTGCACCTCCTCCGACTCCGAAGCGTGCCTCTGGTCACCATATCCACCGCCTGCCGGTACCATTCCTCCCCATTGCGAACCATGGGCAACGGCACTGGGACATACCTGAGCTGCGGCCGCTGCAGCAACCACAAGAAGACTCCTTGCAAATGCCATTGGAGACGTGCCCGTAGCCGCTGCAGGAACCTTCCCCATTGAGGCGCGTACTTCGGCTGTTTCACGGGCGCATCCATGTGATCGCTGGGAACGTCTGGTGGGCTTCTTGAGAGGAATCTCAACCGGCACAAAAAAGGTGTCATGCCCGACTCCCGCATCTGTGACATGCGTTTCAGGTTCTGGGGCATGAGGACCAAAGAAACCACGTCTCCACTTCCGCCTAAGCCAACTGGAACGATCTTCGGCTTTCACTTCACAAATCCCTGCTGGTCCGACGCGCAACCACCGAAGATCTCCAAGTGGGTTGAGGCAAAAATGTCCGGCTTGCATCTTAGACAGGGGAATCCACCGGTCCTCAAACAACTGCTTCAGCAACATCTTCTTCCCGGAAAAGTCCAACACAGCCCCCAACGCCTCCAAGAAGTCTTTGCCCAGCAAACATCCCAAGGAGTCACAGGGGATGACACTGACCCAAACCAAAACAATCTCGTCCAAGACCTTGATGGGCAACCGGATGCGTTCCTTGCTGGTGAGGGTCCCACCGTTACCAAACTTGAACCGTTCCGCCTCCGGTACTCGCGAAACAAGATCTCGAACATGGCCGGGTGCTAGGTTGATGGATTCCAGGAAAATGTCGACCCATTGCTGACCTGCACATGACCGGTTACAAGCGCTGTCAACTGCAGCCTGATTCACTTTGTCTTCGGACAAGGATTGTCCATTCGGCTTGGCTCGGGTGGCCATAACCTCTGACAGCTTCCCTGTCATCAAAATCTCGTGGCCACCGAAGTTGTCCATCACCAACGTCTCATGAGTGGTGTCGCCCGACACCAAGTCCACCACATGGACCTCGGCGTGCTCCGACTTGCCCTTGTTCTTGGTGTAGCCTTTTCCAGACTTCGACTTGCCCGAACCTCGGCCACCACCTCCTTTGGGACAATCAGCGTCGCCAGCCCAGTGACCTGGAGCACCGCAAGCATGACACTTCCCCGCCTTCTTACCGAGACCTTTTCCTGCACCACGTCCAGAACCGCTGCCAGGACCTTTGAATCCTCGGTCCTTCCGCATGTTCGACAGCTGCTGGCGTGCCTCTCGAAGTGTCACCACTGCGGTCTCCAGCCGATTCTCCATTTCTTCCAACTCGGCTTCGTCACACCTTTTGTTGAGAAGCTGCTTCCAACTCCGACGCCAATACTTCCACCTCTTGCTGGAGTCCCACAAGGCCACCGTCCTCATCCTCAAAGGCCTCGTCCTCCTGTATGGCCTCCGTGATCTCCCCGGCCTCGCCCTCCGGTTCGACAAGCTCGCCCTCCTGCTCCGTCACATAGGCAGAAGAACTCCTAGAAGGCGCCGCCGTGCTCATCCTGCGGGACCAGGATGAAGAAACACTCGCAGTTGAACTTGCCGAGGAAGGAGCCCGGGCCTTGAACCGAAAACGTTCACGTTCTCTGAAACGTCCTGGTTGACCATGGGCACCATGTGAAGCCGCTTGAACAGTCGCACAGCTTCTCTCTCACAAGCTGAGTACTTCTCCGTGTCCGGTCCGAGTGTGGTTTCCAGCATCTGCATCTGAACCTCCGTGAGCATCAACTTCTGCTTGAAGAACCAAGCCGCTTCAGCATCGTCCAACGCGATGCCCTCCTTCTTCATCTCTGCCACCAAGGTCCGGTACTTCAGGGCAAAGCTCACCACCCCTTCACCGTTGGCCCTCTTGGTCTGCATATAGAACCGCTCACGTAGTTCTCCCTTCTTGTCCGTCACCGTCTGGCCGATCATCTCATCCCACGCCTCCAGGATCTTGTTGATGCCCTTCGCATAGTCCGCTTGCTGCGTCTGAGTGCTAGACCTCCGGCTGGTGGGCCAACTCCGCCGGTTCGAACTCCAGGGCTCTCAACTTGGCCGCACCCTTCTGCTTGATCGCAAACCGGGCCGCCAGGCTGAAGTTTGCAGTCTTCTTCAAATCGATCGACTCCAGCCACCACACCACGAGCTTCTTGAACTCCCTCAACGAATCTGCACGACCATCCCAAACCGGAATGGACGCATCGAAGCCCGCCTCTGACACGCCACCGGGTCCGCCGCCTGATCGCTCGGACTCAGCCATGGCCTGCCAGTGTACTTGAAGTCCACAGTGTACTCCACCAGGTCGAAGAACTTGTTCTCGAAGAAAAGAGGGGGCCTGCTGGCCCAGGTGGTTACCCGACGGGAGCGACTACCGGATCAGCCTGCAGCGGGCTCACCAGGATGGGAGCACCAGCAAAGTCCTGCTCGGCGTGACAGCAAAAATCAAAGCTCAGGGCGTCCTCAAGTCCAAGGGTCGCTATGGCTCACGCTACCACTGAGGAAACACGAGGGTCTTAGATGCAAAAGAGCCCCGCGTATTTTCCGCGTTCCGATGCCCTGAGGCTCAAGCGCTGCGGTTCATGATGTCAATTGATCATGATGACTTATCATGCATGCAAGTCCAAAGGCAAGATGGGCTGCTTCACAGTCTTTGATCCCAAAGCGTCCATTTGCTTAAGCTGCCACTTAAACAAGTCTTCACTGGTCATATCTCTGAAACATCAACTGGAGCACCAAAAAACAAATGGGGGGTAAAATCCCAGTCTCGTTGCTCGTAAGGGCCTACGTGTGCTTTCGACTCCCTGGTCCCATTTTACCGCTATCAAAGTCACCCAAGTGGCAGGTGAATGGGAACAACCCCAGCTCGAACTTTGAAACCCCAAACAGTCGTTGACGTCCTCACCCCGCTTGCCGTGGCGCGGGCCGCGTGTGACTTGATTGCAGCATCTCCGGCAATCGATTCCGCCGCAGCGGCGCTGTGTTGCCGGTGAGGCCTAGCGGGCACTCCATGGATACCCGAAAACAAAACCCAAGGGAGTAGAGGTATCGGCATATTATGACAAGGGGCATATCGGTTGTATACTTCATTTTCCCTAGCCAGCCCGCAACATGGTCTTGTTACAGGTGTAACAAGTTCGTTCAGGGCACTCTCCCAAACAGACTGCGTTCTTGACCGATGAAACAATAGTATGTCGATGTGCAATTCATGTAAACGCACGGACGACCAAACCACAATTTCTAGGCCAATTGCTCCGCACTATGCCTGACCTCATTGTAGACCCAGCTTCCATTGGCAGCACCAAACTCCGACATGCATTCAGCAGCCTCAGTGTGGCTGAATGAAACTGGGCGTGATGAAACTACTTTCTGGCAAAGGCCAGGTTCTCACAGCAACTCCTTAACTTCCTGCAGCCATAAGGATTCCAACAGGCGATGCATCCCATTTGCTCTGAAAGAAGAAACAAATGGGTGCATCTGTTTTCAGCCACCACCAAAATTGGTAGTTTCCTGTTGGTTTCCCTTTACACCAACCCCAAAAAAAATCCGGCCCAAATTTCCCGCCAGTCATGCGAACGAATGAGATCAGATCGCCTGCCACGACCGCCTCCGCGGCACCCATGACAGCAGCCAGAGAGTGGCTGCAGAGCACCGTGAAGAGCATGGTCTGAAGCATGGCCTTTGGCTCGCGGTCAAAGACAACAGGCCATGGGTGAAAAACAGGTACGCTTTACACACACACACACACGCGCATATAGGGCATAAGTAGTTACTGGTGGGGAAAAACAAGCACTGAACACCTTGTATGCTGATAAGTTTGCATCCGTGTTTGGAAAGAATATGTTGCACGACTCCAGACACAGGGCCCCCAAGTCTTGACACTTGACTAATCCGTCCAAATATTCAATGGAGACTTACCCGCTCTGGTAGCATCTAAATGGACAAACAGTGCCATCTTCGCACTTTCGCCGGACTGTAGCCGTAACCTGCAACAACCAAACATGGAAGTCAGTGCACAGTTGCCAGGAAGGCAAGTTTCGCAAGTTTGCGCATCATACCAAGTCAGGTTTGAGCAAATGAGATCGCGACTTGCATCCCACTTGGCCCCAGTTCACCGATGCGCCCTTTCAAGGGAAGCCAAGGAGTTGGATGCACTCGTTTGAGAGGCTAGCAGGCTGTGTCCAAAGCAAACAACTAAGGAACCAAAAAAAGTGAAATGGTTGCCAGGGATCATGACACAGCTACTAGTCATTGTCATGCTCCTTTGAAAAGACAAACCAATCAGCGATTCGGATGTTCAAAGCCGCTGGGTCCAAGTGACACCAAGTGACATCCTCAAATATTGACAATAAACATGGGTCGGTCTTCTTTGGCCCCCCCCGCCCTGACCCCAATCAAAAGAAAAAAGTAGATTTCCTTGTTGTGTTCCTGTAAAGTCTCCAAAAAAAGGTATCAACTCCCCGCATGGTGGCCCCGTTTCAGGGAGCAGCCCTGCCCAGCCCGACTCTGGGCGAATGGCTGCAGCGCTGGTGAACTTCAGCGTCACGGAGCCCAGGTGAGGCTGACACGGACGGAAACCCATGGAAAGCTGATGGCTCTCTCGAGGCTCTCGTCGGTAATTGTCAGAAAGGCCGAAACAGAACTTCTACAATTCTCTTGGGATCCGTGTGCGCTTGGACAATTCGCCCTAAAAGAATGGAAGGCGAGTGCGTGCCTCCAGAAACTTCCCCTTTGGTCGGCAACAAGGAAACACAGGGAAAGCCGCGAGACAAAGGAGACGATCAACCCGTCTCAAGACACCAGTTCCTGATGCAAAGCTTTATTTTTGGAAAAATCGAGTGACAAACATCCCGGCCCGTGGAAAATGGAACGTGCCGCTGCGCTAAATTTGCGCCACGCTCTGTCACCCCCGTCCCACGCCTGCCATGTGTTTTGTCATGTCTGGAGGAAAATAATCACACCGTGACAGGGGGATTCAACAAAACACTGTCTTTTACCATACAAAATGAAGGTGCGAGTGGCGAAAACTAGCACCTTTTTTTGAAGAAAATTACGTTTCGCCTGCGTTTTGAGCAGTGCCGAGTGGTTCGTTTGATCCCGAGCACAGCATCATCTTCCAGGGCCTCCTCGTCTGACATATGCGAATCATCTTCCAGGGCCTCCTCGTCTGACATATGCGAATCATCTTCCAGGGCCTCCTCGTGTGACATATGCGAGTCATCTTCCAGGGCCTCCTCGTCTGCCATATGCGAATCGGGGCCGCTCGCTGGCGATGGCGAAGGCAGGAGTCCCAAGCTGCAACTGGAGCTTGGCGGGCACGACTCACTGGAGGACACGATCGCGACATCACAGTCAAGGTCACAAACTCGCTGATGTGGGCAGTGGTCGAATGCGGATGCGGCATGTGTTCTGCTGCCTCTGGATGCTGCGGGGCGGGTGTGCTTATCATGGGCTGAGCATGTGTTCTGCTGGCTGTGGATGCTGCGGAGCGGGTGTGCTTATCATGGGCTGAGCATGTGTTCTGCTGGCTGTGGGTGCTGCGGGGCGGGTGCTTATCATGGGCTGAGCATGTGTTCTGCTGGCTGTGGATGCTGCGGGGCGGGTGTGCTTATCATGGGAATGTGTTCTGCTGGCTGTGGATGCTGCGGGGCGGGTGTGCTTATCATGGGCTGAGCATGTGTTCTGCTGGCTGTGGATGCTGCGGGGCGGGTGTGCTTATCATGGGCTGAGCATGTGTTCTGCTGGCTGTGGATGCTGCGGGGCTGGTGTGCTTATCATGGGCTGAGCATGTGTTCTGCTGGCTGTGGATGCTGCGGGGCGGGTGTGTGGATGCTGCGGGGCGGGTGTGCTTATCAGGGGCTGAGCATGTGTTCTGCTGGCTGTGGATGCTGCGGGGCGGGTGTGCTTATCATGGGCTGAGCGTGTGTTCTGCTGGCTGTGGATGCTGCGGGGCGGGTGTGCTTATCATGGGCCGGTATGATGAGCGTCGAGGTATTTTAACCGATGGCAGTAACTACACGTACGGTTTTCCACGTGTAGGCACAAACATCCCTCGGCTCCAATTCACGTCAGGGTTGACGACACCCACTGCCCGCTATTCTTAAGGGGCGGCAATTCGGGGCCAACTACCTCTTCAACATCTCAAACCGCTTTTCATTGATGGGAATCATGTGCTAAGTCTAAATGGGAAAGTGTTCAACATGTTCAAAGCGCTTGCCACCGTTTACGCTTCCCCTCTAGGCTTCCGTTTGCGGGAGACCCAAACCCATGGCGCCTGTGGCAGCAGTGAGGTCAGCAGGTCATGCGGTAGCGAGGCCAGCAGCGGCAAGTGCCTGAGCGCAAGGGAAATTTCTTGCAATCTTTATATTTGTCACTTTGCAGCAAAATTTCTTGCAAAACCGACCACTAATCAACGACTGCTTTTGGACGGCACGTGTACGGGAAGTGGGAAGTTGGAGGGCGCTGGAAACCGAGCTCTAAACATGGCCAAAGGCGATGCTTAAATCATCCACAAAGAGACACATAGGATCTTGGCTTGATCTCCCCAATGCCAGAAAACAGAAACAGCGCCACTGGGTGAAGTGGGCTGGCCAAAAAGGCATGGCTTTGTTTGCTCGTTTGGGTCCAACAGATACCACAAGATGAGGTGGGGCTTCGGGTAAATCGCAACTGAGAACATCGTGATTGATGCTTGGCAAAATCGGCCCTTTGATGACTCTACTTGCAAAGCGGCAATCACATAAACTTGTCAGCGAAAAAGGTGCCAACCGGGCCCGGCGCAACTCCTTTCAAGGCAAGTTCAAAGACTAAAACCGGATAGAGATGCACGGGGGATTGTCTCTGAATGGGGGCACCTGCAACATGCGTGGTGTGCCTTCAGTTTCCCTTTTCGACAATCCCAGAAGGGTAGTTTTGAGAGGACAGACTGGCATCACCCTGCTCACATTGCTAAAGTGTGCAACCGAAGAATGCAGCTGAAGCACTCGATGAGTGCCTGATTGAAGCCAATACCGCCTCGCGGAACAGCGACAGGCTGTGTAAGGAGAACCTCTTCAGTGCCACACTACCCAACAGCTTTTCTCCCATCTTCCATTCTTGGGCTGCTTTTTGGACACGGCTCTTGGACAAGGGAAATAACGGTGGTCACAGGGTCGGAAATGGGCCACCCCAATGGCCTCCTAAAGTCTGGTGGACTCCGGGCCTGAATGTGGTTCGAGCTGTCACGAATTGGAACGTTCATTACTTTCATCTCCATTGGGTACTTTACTTTTTTGACACAAACAAACACACTTCCTTGGCGCCTCTTGAACACAAATCACTGGGGCTTTCAATTAAACCATGGCGCTTCTAGACAAACATGTGGGTTTGTACATCAAACCCATGGCGCCTATGGAAAAAGCCCATGGCTTATGCAAAAACCCATGGCGCTTGTGGAAAAAACACGTGAGATTTTACGTCAAACCCACGGCGCTTATGGAAAAAAACATGGAAAACACGCGGTGTTGGTCCCAAAACCAAGCTCCGTGGCGGTCGGCGTTTCGGGCGGTCCTTTCCGCAGTCCGCCGCAGGCCACCATGTCCGCCCAGCGCGCCCAGGCGCCCGGGGAGCTGGCCATCGAGTCCTCCACGCCTCGGGAATCGTCGCTTCGTGGGAAGGGCCTCCCTTTGGTTCAAAGATAAGATGTGAAGGATCTTGAGGCGTACATGTATGATATCCCCTTCTTTCTTCTTTTTAACATACGTATTATATATATATATGTTTACATAATATGTTTCTTATATACATACTCCGCCCCCCCCCCCGCACTCAGTGGTGGGCCCTGGTTGATTGAACAAACCCTCCCTGCAATTTCGAGGCGGACCGGATCACCTCCCAGGAGCTGTGCGGCGTCTATCTTGGCCACTCGTACTTCTTCCTTGATCTTCCAGGAACCTGCAAGAGTAGGCCTTTGGCTCGCTTTCCTTTTTCAACCAAGAGCAAAATCAAGAAGGGCCCTGTTTCTGCGCGCTTTTGGAAGAGCAAGGAATTGAAATGGGTTTCCCTTTAGCCCGCTTGAATGGAGAATACCACGGTGGTAAAGCTTGTAAATGCTTTCGTGCTTGCAACCAGGGAGTAGCGACCAGGAAGAGCTTCCGTTAAAAAAACAAAAACAAAAAACAAGCAACAAGGGCAAGTCGTGGCCAGCGCATAATTCAGCACGTGTTTCTCGCCGGCTGCTTGCCAACCTGTTTTCAACACGCCTGTAAACCTGCCTAGGGTCGTTTAGACCAAGTTTGTAACTACCTGCTACTGGTGGAGTAGGATATCTAAGAACACGTGCCAACACAAATCAGCTTCGTGAACAACCGGCGACTTAAAAAACACATTTTCACTCACTCAACAATGTCATTTAGACGCATACAGCTTGTGGTCCTGGTTACATGCTTCGGGGTTTGGACAAACACCAATACGCTTCTCTCAGCCTTTTCCGCGCAAGCGCGGGTCCGAGCTGCGGTCGCAGAGGTGCTGCAGGGCCTGGCGGTCCAGGTGCAGTTGCAGCTGCCAGGGCCCGGCCACGTGGCCCATGGCGAAGACGTGCATCAGCAGACTCAGCAGCTGCGCCATGTCGGCGCCTGAATGAAACAACCGATCGAAACGAATCGGGTTTGGATCCAAATGATTGAAGAAAAACATATCTTCAACTGCACCTGAATTTTTTCAGCTATGCTCTGGACTGTCACTCCCATTTTCCTGACACCCGGGAGAAGTTGCAGCTGACAGTTTGGGCACTGAATCCCTCGGGTGGATCCTCTCTTGGCGAAAAAAAGGAAGCTACCACAGGATCGGCTGAAACCCGGAAGAGGCCTGGAGACGCAATGAAAACAACACATACTAGGCTGGATTGGGTTGCCATTTGCCAGCCGGGGGGGGGGGGGGGGGCGCTGGCAGAAGTCTGGAAGCTGTGAGTCAAGGGTCTTGCCATTCGTCCCCTTGCGTCCTTTTAAGTACGGAGTGGGTGGCTAAATGGCCACGAGCTTTGGACGACAGTCTGAAAGTCAGCATAGAACCCAAAAATATCCCCTGTGAAATGAATGTCTTGCGCTTCCATGTCATTGTGTGGTTCGCCAAGAAGAAAATTGCCACTTAGAGAAAGCGCCCTTAAATCTTGAGACACCCATTTATGCGGTTGCTTCGCAAGGTGCGACCCAGGAAAGCAGGCAAGCCCAGGAGAAGAAACCACACTTGGAGGGATCCAACATTTGAAAAATACCCGGGAACAGGTCCAGGTGGAAGTGCTGGTCCAAGAGGTTTCAAACGGCACCTTTGCTTGGAGATCCTTGCAAACACATCTCAAAGTCGGCCGGCGAAACACCCAAAACCCAATGGCAAAAGAAGGCGCGGTGCAGCCCTCCGGCCTCTGCAGGACTGTCTTCAGTAACAGCAAGCTGGTCAGCCCACGTGCAACACACTTGAAGGTCTATTTGTTTGAGGTTAGCCTTCCGGAACCCATCTGAGAAACATCCCAGCTGGTCAACCCAGAAACCCTGAACGACGGATTGAGCACGATATCGCACGCTTATGGCCTCTTTTTGCACACATTCCGGCTTGCATCTGTTTTAAGAGGACCAGTGTCCGAGCGATGTCATTGACACCTTGGTTCTGAGCGGCACGTCACCTTGATGAAGTTCCCAAATATCGCATATCACGAGCCGAAGCGAAGGAAGCGAGTGACATCCATAGGACTGGCACACCACGCGTGCGCTGAACCTCTGCTCATGTTGCAGCACGCTTGGCATGCGGCATGCCTTACGGGCAGCGTCAAACATCAGCCGCGGCGATTAAATGCTGGCAATTGAACCGATATCAGCGCCCGCAACGGCGTGGCATGTGTTTGCACAAAGACTTCTGGCCTTCTGTGCGGCATCTCAAGTGTTCGCTCCACTACATCTGCAAAGGAAATGAACAGGCGAACTGTCGGAATCTTGTTGACTGTCCCGTCGCATCTGGAAAGCGAAGGCATGATTCTGAGGACATGTTCTGCGCTGATTATGTAGCCATTTCGCAACCCGCCACGCGGCGGTATTCTTGCTGAGTTGCTCGCTGCCAGCGGCAGTCGAAACATGGCAACGGGCTCTCCGCCGAAAACAATCGACTTTGCTCTGAACAGCAACACGACAAGTGCACCAAGCAATGCGGTCTTTGCCATCTGCGCATTGGAACCAGCGCAGCCGCAGTGCAAGTGGCGGCATAAGGCCAGTGCATGTTCGGAACGGCCAGCACTCGAGCACAGGCGGCTTTGCAAGTGCTGTTATAATAGAGAAACATACGGGCAGGGTGATGGGTCGGGACATAAGACTATGGGCTGCTAAAGCGCCCTAGACGTCCTACACGTGTATGTAGCTTCCCATTGAGTTCAGAAAAGGCTTGAAGGTGCAGCAATTCCCGCCTCGCCTCAGTGGTGTTGAACGTAATGCTCACATCAGCGTCGCCCGGCAGGACACTTAGTTCAAGCCCCACCGAGCAACCAAAAACACTTGGAAACTGAGAGGCACTTGCGTTTGCATGCGCCCTATGCACTTAGCCTCGTGCAAGTTTTGGGTCTCAGTTCTGCGATCATGCGACAGCGATGAGTCCAAGAGGTGTCACAGGCGACGCTGTTGCAAACGAAGCGAGCCTGGCATGAACAAGACTGAGTTCAGCCTATGATAGCAGCTTCGTGCTGCCAGTCCAGAATTTCGGCCCCCACTCTGCCCAAAACTGGGAGGGCAACTTGCGCTTTCGACTCACAAATTAATCTAGAGCATGCTCCCACTTTTTTGCTTTATGAGTTGCTTGTCAGCGACCTCAAACGTGCTCCACTTGCCAAACTATCGCTGGTGACTTCACCATGCCTTGTGCGGTGCGAACTCGTGAATGACTCGTGGCTGTGCTGCGTTTTCGACAACAAACCTGCCTTAACCACTGAAACCCTTGCTGTGCAATCTGAACCTGCAGCCACTTTTTAACCTACCAAGAAGGTTTGGTCTGGCTGAGTTGTTCGCTGCCTTCACCCAACACTTGGCAGCTGTCTTTGCGCTGGCAACAACTGTCTTCTCGGGCAGAAATGACACCGTGCCACCAGGCAATGATTTTCTCATCTGCCTCCTCAACATTTCACACAGCACTATTTGGGCGGCCCTAAATGGGATCTGACAAGTGGGATTTCGCACACGGCGCAAAGGTCATGGAAGTAGTCACAGTGGGATCTCGCACACGGCGCAAAGGCGATGGAAGTAGTCACAACTGTGATCTGCTAAGTATGAGATGGCAAAGCTAGCAGCAAGTAACCCAGCAAGGCTACTGCAGACATCTGAGATCTAGGAGTGCTTTCCAATTTCGTCAAAAGGCGAGGCCCCCAGAAATCCACGAATCTGTAGAGCTAGGTTGGCGCTTGGTTCGCGCAAAAATCGCATGTTTGCGTCCGTCCAAGTTGAAGCCTATGAATCTCCTTCGTAGATTGAACAATGCAGGGACCAATATGTAACCAAATGCATCACGACGCATGAGGGGCCACGCTCGCCGCACCTCGCAGCGTGTGGGAACTAGCTTTGAGCAGGATTCGGCAAACACGTCCTATATGCAAGACCTGAGCGGGTCAAGCATAAACAAAATGAGGTCACAACTAGTCCTCCTATGACACCGCCAGCAAAAGCTGCGCTCGAGGCTTTACACCACCCTGCAGGATTCAAGCAGTCGGGGACAATTGAGCCATGTCCTAAACGTATCATGATTTGCTAAGTCGCATCATTTTGATTACGCCCCTAGCTTACGCCACTTTACGCGCGTGGAGTTGTTCCTTACGCGACACATTTGGAGTTTTGCTTCGCCACTAGCTTACGCCACCTTACGCACGTGGAGTTTTTGCTTACGCACAGGTCGATATGACACGACTCTTACTAACCATGTACACGGAGGTTTTGGATGCCGCTCAATTCTTGACAGCAGCACCACTTATGTCAGCTGCTGCTCGGATAAGGTCTTGTTGCATGAGTTGCGTGCCCGGGGTAGCCAACAAGCTGAGCACAACCCGCATCACTGGCTAATTAGCAACGCCTGGAACCAACCCCACAAAGCCTCGGAAGCTGTTGGACACGCAACTTGACACCTGATAGCTGCAGCACTGCCGCGGTCGTGCTGAATCGCTTCTGCAAAAGCTGCAGTAATCACTGCGCGCGGGGGGGCTCTCTCACACCAAGGTGGCCCTGTCACTACTTTCGCCTGAACGGGTTGCTGGGACGTGTGCCTTCACATGCTTTGTGCACAGTCAGCCAGGAAAGTACGCTGTGACCGCAGTCACTTTAGCACGGAAAGCAACCGGTGGAACATTGCGTGAGTAAAAACAGCATTGCTGTCAACCAATGTTTTCCCGGCGCGCGTCACTGGCTAGCAACACCTGCCTTATCATTTTCAGCAAAGGCATCTTGAATTATCCAGCTATCCTTGGGAGTCAAGAGCCCGCCTAAGATCATCAGTAGGCGAGCTTCGATTGCTCTTTGGTGATGAGCAATTAAGAACAGGTCCAACATTATTGTCATGAGTCTCGGGTGACAGTACAATGCCGAGCTGCCTGTTCAATTGGTTCAACTGAAAACGCTGTTTTTGAGAAATCGTTCCATTTTGAATGTAGCACTTAAGCTCGAGAACCAACTCTGTGAAGCCTCGGAAGCTGTCGGATGCACAGCTTGACACCTAGCTGCAACACTACCGTCGTGCTAAATTGTTTCTGCAACAGCTGCAGCAACCACTCCAAGCAAAGGAGTTCTCTCACACCCGGGAACTGCTGGCTGAACAGGTTGCTGGGGCGTGCGTCTACATATTCTTCATTGACCGTCAGAATGGAAAATTGATCGAAGCACGCTGGAACGGAGTAAAGAGAGCATGGCTGTGACTGCTTCCGTCGCCTTTGGCCGTGGGAACTAGCTTTGACCAGGATTGAGCAAGCACATCCACGCAAAATCTGAGCAGGAGCAAACACGTCTGGGCAGCGAGAAAGGACTGCGTCTCAGGATTGACACCACCTCGCAGGATGCAAGCGGCGGGGTACAATCCTTGATCACGGCACCAGGTGAGCCGAACGTGCGGCTCTTGTGTCGGCTGCTGCGCAATTAGATTATTGCCGCATGAGCTGCGTTCATGGCGCGGTGTGCTCAATAATCGAGCAGGAACGCTTGGCAACAACCGCTCTCCTCCCGGGTCGTATCGCACCAATCCCGAACCGGAAGCTGTCGGACACATAACTTGCCACCTGAGGCCTCGGTTTTTCTGAATTGCTTCTGCAAGAGCTGTAGCAGACACTCCCAGCAAAGCAGCTGTCTCACACCCAAGCTTTGTCGGCTAAGATTGTTGTGACCTATGCTCATGCTTGATTGGCCGTCACTCAGGCGAAGACGTTGCAACCATTGTTGTGACAAACACGTCTTTGGTCGTGCGTAGGACAGCCCCGGTCGGAAGAACTTCGTGTTTCCGGCCGCCCAGTGGCCTGTCCCCCTACAACTTTGCCTGCAGCACGGTCGTTTAGCCCAAAAACAAGCTGGTGGAACATCGCAGGAGTGAGGACAGCACGGCGGTCAACTACTCCTCTCCAGGCTCGCATCACTGACTAGCAAAGCCTGGAACCCACAAAGCCTCGGAAGCTCTGACAGCCGCAAAGCTGCCGCGTTTTTGCTGAAGTGCGTCTGCAAAAGCTGTAGCAAACAACCCCGGCAAACCAGCTGTCTCACACCCAATCTCTTTCGGCCGAGCAGGTTGCTGGGACCTGTGCTCGCACATGCTTGATTGGCCTTCAATGCACATTATTGGCAATACGCAAGTGCTAGCCAGCAACGCTTGTGCAAATCCAACCTTGCTAGAAACTGTTTTTGTTAATCCGTTTTTTGGGCCAAAGATTTGCTAGAGCTGTTGATTTGTGTTTGGGGGTAAAGTGTTTCTGTGGCTGGGGCCTGCGAAGCGTGCACTTCTTTTTGGGACCATTTTCGGGCCTCGGTGTTTGGGACCTTGTGTGCAAGCGATGACGTTTGTTCGCTGGGCCAATATGTTGGAACTGCATAGTCACTCTAGCCCAAACGCAAACTGGTGGACGTCGCGGGAGTCCAGACAGCACGGCTGTCATGCACTGGCTAGCAACCCCTGGAACCAGCCC